ATAAACAGAGTAGCAGCAGGTTAAATGATGATTGTAAGTGAGTTTGTGTGCAACTGTGCGTGTGTAGAGTATAAATACGTGTGAATGTTATGTGTGTGTTGGAATGTCTGTGTGTGTGAGTGTGTAGAGTCCAGTGAGTGTGCATAGAGACGGTGCAAAAATAAAACAATTAATACAAGGGTCAACTCAAGCTCACTTAGATCTTGCTGTGAAGCTGTCTGTGTGTGTGTGTGTGTGTGTGTGTGTGTGTGCGCGCGCTGTGTGTGCTGTGTTTTGTCATGACTGTAAACCTCACCTGTGATATCAAAGTAATTTTTGATAAGGCACGAAAATGAAATAAACGATTTGGTATAATTTTGATTATGGAAGATTGAATACGTGTGATTCAAACTGTTTGTTTGGAATATTTGTAGCTATCGTCTCTATCTGTGCACGAGAGTGCATCCGACTCAGTTTCCCTACCAGAAAATACGCGATACCGTAAAGTATTGTGTATTCGCGCACAAAAATTCAGGAGGAAACTGAAGAGCGGATCGCGGATGGCGAAATTTATGCAAGAGGAAACAAAAAACAAAATAATTTACGAATGACGCGTTCAAAATAACTGGGAACTCGGAAATCTCTGACCTCCGACTTCAGTGCGTTCAAAACAACAGGGAACTCGGGGAAGAAAACTACCTCGGAATTCCAACTGGGAAATTGTGCCTCCTAGAGCTCTTACTTCCCAACCTGAAGATCACTGACGTCATGATTTCACCTCGTATTTTTCCGAATTCCCAGTTGTTTTGAACGCGGCAGAAGTGAACTGCCAGACGTCTGCGTGCTGCACTCTAGATTCGCCAAAAAATCGAACAGACAGATGAGAGCCACTTTGAAGCATGGCTTGTCAGCAACCGTTTTACAATCCGGTAAGAATTCTACCTCGACATTATTCACATGTCTTTTTTCAGGCCCCAGTATATGTGAGTTTCGGGAGTCATTTTGGTACTTTATTTTTGGTGTAATGTTCCACTATATTTTTATATTCTGGACCCACAGATTGCACATTTTCTTCTAGCCCAGCACCCAAGATTGCACATTTTCTTCTAGCCCAGCACCCAAGATTGCACATTTTTATTCTAGCCCAGCACCCACTAGCACATCTGATGCAACTAAAATCAGGTGCAATGGGTATGTTAGTGATGAGTTTAGTGGACTAGAATAAAAATGGGTTCCTCAGGAACAGGACTGAAAAACATTGAATAGGTCTGTCTATATTTTCTGTCATTTTCATATCCAAATTTGACACCTAAAAACTTAAGTGATTGATATAATTAATGAAAGAAGGTAAGAAGAAAGGATACCATAACCTTTTAGATTGTTATTGGTTACAAAATGCTTGATGTGGCCATTGTGAACGTTTAAAGTGTTCAACTAAGTCTCTTGCAAAGTCCCTAATCTTATCAGGCAGACCTAGCCTGGTCAAGTGTTGTTTTTTGCTGAGCAGCGAACAGTTTTGACTGGGCTGAGCGGGAACTGTGCTTCCGCAGAGGTAGGGGAGCCAGCAGGCCAGAGGTGGATGAACGCAATGCCCTCGTTTGGGTGTAGGGACTGATCAGAGCCTGAAGGTACGGAGGTGCCGTTCCCCTCACAGCTCCGTAGGCAAGCACCATGGTCTTGTAGCAGATGCGAGCTTCAACTGGAAGCCAGTGGAGTGTGCGGAGGAGCGGGGTGACGTGAGAGGACTTGGGAAGGTTGAACACCAGACGGGCTGCGGCATTCTGGATGAGTTGTAGGGGTTTAATGGCACAGGCAGGGAGCCCAGCCAACAGCGAGTTGCAGTAATCCAGACGGGAGATGACAAGTGCCTGGATTAGGACCTGTGCCGCTTCCTGTGTAAGGCAGGGTCGTACTCTCCGAATGTTGTAGAGCATGAACCTACAGGATCGGGTCACCGCCTTGATGTTAGCGGAGAACGACAGGGTGTTGTCCAGGGTCACGCCAAGGCTCTTCGCACTCTGGGAGGAGGACACAACGGAGTTGTCAACCGTGATGGTGAGATCATGGAACGGGCAGTCCTTCCCCGGGAGGAAGAGCAGCTCCATCTTGCCAAGGTTCAGCTTGAGGTGGTGATCCGTCATCCATACTGATATGTCTGCCAGACATGCAGAGATGCGATTCGCCACCTGGTTATCAGAAGGGGGAAAGGAGAAGATTAGTTGTGTGTCGTCTGCGTAGCAATGATAGGAGAGGCCATGTGAGGATATGACAGAGCCAAGTGACTTGGTGTATAGCGAGAATAGGAGAGGGCCTAGAACTGAGCCCTGGGGGACACCAGTGGTGAGAGCACGTGGTGCGGAGACAGCTTCTCGCCACGCCACTTGGTAGGAGCGACCGGTCAGGTAGGACGCAATCCAAGAGTGAGCCGCGCCGGAGATGCCCAGCTCGGAGAGGGTGGAGAGGAGGATCTGATGGTTCACAGTATCAAAGGCAGCAGACAGGTCTAGAAGGACAAGAGCAGAGGAGAGAGAGTTAGCTTTAGCAGTGCGGAGAGCCTCCGTGACACAGAGAAGAGCAGTCTCAGTTGAATGACCAGTCTTGAAACCTGACTGGTTTGGATCAAGAAGGTCATTCTGAGAGAGATAGCAAGAGAGTTGGCTAAAGACGGCACACTCAATAGTTTTGGAGAGAAAAGAAAGAAAGGATACTGGTCTGTAGTTTGTATCAGGGTCGGTTTTTTTGAGAAGGGGTGCAACTCTCGTTCTCTTGAAGATGGAAGGGACATAGCCAGCGGTCAAGGATGAGTTGATGAGCGAGGTGAGGTAAGGGAGAAGGTCACCGGAGATGGTCTGGAGAAGAGAGGAGGGGATAGGGTCAAGCGGGCAGGTTGTTGGGCGGCCGGCCGTCACAAGTCGCAAGATTTTATCTGGAGAGAAAGGGGAGAAAGAAGTCAAAGCATAGGGTAGGGCAGTGTGAGCAGGACCAGCAGTGTCATTTGACTTAACAAACGAGGATCGGATGTCGTCAACCTTCTTTTCAAAATGGTTGACGAAGTCATCCACAGAGAGGGATGAGGGGGGGAGGGGGAGGAGGATTCAGCAGGGAGGAGAAGGTGGCAAAGAGCTTCCTAGGGTTAGAGGCAGATGCTTGGAATTTAGAGTGGTAGAAAGTGGCCTTAGCAGCAGAAACAGATGAAGAAAATGTAGAGAGGAGGGAGTGAAAAGATGCCAGGTCCGCAGGGAGTCTAGTTTTCCTCCATTTCCGCTCGGCTGCCCGGAGCCCTGTTCTGTGAGCTTGCAATGAGTCATCAAGCCACGGAGCTGGAGGGGAGGACCGAGCCGGCCGGGAGGATAGGGGACATAGAGAGTCAAAGGATGCAGAAAGGGAGGAGAGGAGGGTTGAGGAGGCAGAATCAGGAGATTGGAGGGAGAAGGATTGAGCAGAGGGAAGAGATGATAGGATGGAAGAGGAGAGAGTAGCGGGAGAGAAAGAGCGAAGGTTGGGACGGCGCATTACCATCTGAGTAGGGGCAGAGTGAGTAGTGTTGGAGGAGAGCGAGAGAGAAAAGGATACAAAGTAGTGGTCGGAGACATGGAGGGGAGTTGCAGTGAGATTAGTAGAAGAACAGCATCTAGTAAAGATGAGGTCAAGCGTATTGCCTGCCTTGTGAGTAGGGGGGGGACGGTGAGAGGGTGAGGTCAAAAGAGGAGAGGAGTGGAAAAGGAGGCAGAGAGAAATGAGTCAAAGATAGACGTAGGGAGGTTGAAGTCCCCCAGAACTGTGAGGGGTGAGCCATCCTCAGGAAAGGAACTTATCAAGGCGTCAAGCTCATTGATGAACTCTCCAAGGGAACCTGGAGGGCGATAAATGACAAGGATATTAAGCTTAAATGGGCTAGTGACTGTGACAGCATGGAATTCAAATGAGGAGATAGACAGATGGGTCAGGGGAAAAATAGAGAATGTCCACTTGGGAGAGATGAGGATTCCTGTGCCTCCACCCCGCTGACCAGATGCTCTCGGGGTATGCGAGAACACATGGTCAGACGAGGAGAGAGCAGTAGGAGTAGCAGTGTTTTCAGTGGTAATCCATGTTTCCGTCAGCGCCAAGAAGTCGAGGGACTGGAGGGTAGCATAGGCTGAGATGAACTCTGCCTTGTTGGCAGCAGAACGGCAGTTCCAGAAGCTGTATGAGACCTGGAACTCCACGTGGGTGGTGCGTGCAGGGACCACCAGGTTAGAGAGGCAGCAGCCACGCGGTGTGAGGCGTTTGTATAGCCTGTGCGGAGAGGAGAGAACAGGGATAGACAGAGGCATAGTTGACAGGCTGCAGAAAATGGCTACAATAATGCAAAGGAGATCGGAATGAAATGAACTAAACATCTGGGAAAGGAGAGAGCGGGGCCTCCCTCACCACAACACCCAAATATAACTCTCCCAACTTCCACCTCAGAAACTATAATTGTTGTAAACTACAGCGGCTCAATGTTTTCTAGGAATAGACTAACTTAGTTTATTCAGCTAGCTAACTAGGTACAGTATTCTTCCGTGAAAATCGTCCAGGGCACCTAGTCATAAGACGCCACAGCCAGCTAGCATGCCGGACTCCAACAACACGGTTTAGCACCAATACTCGGCCACAACAAACCACCAGTGTGTCAACACGCCATGGTTGCATGAGGGGAAGACCATCACTGTGACAGGGAGAGTCCTGCCAGGAGCCCAGAGGTAGACCTACCTAGTAGGACATGCATCTCTTTTTCACTGTAGGACAGCCAAATCTCCTTTAGCTCAATCTTGTCACTCACTATCAGCACAGAAGGGGATCTTGTTAAACCGAATCACTTTAAAATATGGCCCGCTTTCTTCTCTCTGTACTCCGTGTCGGTTTCATGTGAATTTGCAATGTGGCTCAAGAGGAAATTCCCGACGTAGCCCTCCACTTCAACCCCCGATATGACGGCTTCCTAGATGTTGTGATCTGCAACACCATGCAGCACTCTAAGTGGGGCTCAGAGGAGCATGAATGGATACCCTGCACCCATGACCCGGGGGGCCAACTTTACCCTCATGTTCCTGGTCAACCAAGATTCATATTCGGTTAGGAGACTTATCACTTTTTTTTTTTTACTGTGGACTTATTGAATTGAATCTTATCTCTATTCGAGAGCAAAACATATTCAAACCCTTATTCATTATTTTTCCTCCATGTGCCATTGATTTCTTGTCTCTCCTAAATCCTGTCTTATCCCAGATGATTGTGAGTGGTGCCCACTTCATGGAGTACCTGCACCGGCTGTCATTCTCCAGAGTGGACACCATCTCCGTGGATGGGGGAGTGGAGATCCAATCCATTGCCTTCTCCAACCCTGCAGTGACAGTGAGTATCTGACAGGTCCTCCGTTTGGGAGAATACAGTACACCTTTGCGTTCCAAAGGATCAACCTTGAACAAGGACATATTTGCTTATCTTGGCCAGTTGTTTGGAATGCCACCCAGTTGGCAAAACAGGTTGCAACTTGCAATTGTCATGGTCGGAGTGTATAATGATTGTAAGGATGTTTTGGACATCTTTTTAGCATCCAAAAAAGTAGTTCCCTCAGTTCCTACTTTAATAAATTAAATAAATAGTATTCAGACTTACATGTGTTAACCAAGAGAGTCTGTCCATATCCTACACAGCAAAATTTAATGTGATGTATTTTATTTTCTCCAGTTACCTCCTCCCCAACCAGGATATCCTGGCCATCCACACAGTGTGAGTATTCTCCATATGACAGACATACTGATCAATAGGATTCTTAGTTATAGAAATGTTTTTGGTATTTGGAGTTACATAAGGCCAGCAGTTGTATGGAAACACTTGTAATTAGTAGTAAGCACATTACTACATATCTGTGTCCTCACAAAACAGTAGCATAGGCCATAACCCAAGATAGACATTTTGTTTACAGGGTCAACGGAACCGAAATAGATCTCGTCAAAGTAAATCAGGTCCCAAAACTCCTCCTCAATTGTGTAATGCCACACAGGTAGATTATAGCATGCTGGGTTGGAGGCTAATTTGGTGTATTGAGATTTTTTTTCTGGTGGTGGGTGTTTTTACATTTACATTTTAGTCATTTAGCAGACGCTCTTAGTGAGTGCATACCATTTTTTTTTTTTTATGTTCATACTGGCCCCCCGTGGGAAACGAACCCACAACCCTGGCGTTGCAAGCGCCATGCTCTACCAACTGAGCTACACGGGACCATAAAATGACTGCATTTCATTCCATTCAGTCAATGTTAGCTTTGAGGGATGATCTCCTTGTTTTAATGCTTTCCTTGTTTAATTTGATACTTGTTTGACAGCTGTTTGTCTGTTTTGTAGGCTTTCTCGGCTGCATTTTGTGCCCCAGGATTTGTTCAGGTGCGTTGCATTCAAATGAATCAACTTTTTAGAGTTCAGAATTTGTAGAGTAGAGGCCAACATCAGGAATTTGATTGGAGTTGTATCATTGATCTATATAAATGAATAAAGCTGAAATGAAAATGAAGCTCTGACAAGGTTAAAGTAGTTTAGAGACTGTACTGAAAGGTGCTATTCTTCAGATGGTAATGTACAGTGTTTATTTTATAGACACCCCTTCCATACACCCCCCAGCCATCCTTCGTAAGTACCCCTTCTTTAACCTACAGACTTAAGTGCAGACTGAACAATTACATTAATTTATGTAGTATCGATACAGATTGTTAGGGTGATATGGTGATGTTATGGATCCTCTGTTCTCAGGTTGTGCCTTATAAAAACATAATGGCAGTTGGACTTTACCAAGGCAAAAACATCATCATCCAGGGTGTGGTCAACCACAACGCTGATAAGTAAGTAACACTTACTCATTTAAACACATCTTGCATCATTAATTTGCTTGTCACCTGCTATGGGTCAAAGTTGGTACTATGAATCGTGTACCTGTACATTACAGACAATACAGATAGATAATAAGGAAATAGGTCCTTTTTAGATTTGTCTGTCGCCCTCCAAATTATTTGTATAATTTTTCTTTCACGATTGTGTAACACTCACCACCAGCAATGTTCTCCCTCTATAGAAACAGAACATTACAGAGCTATACAGTACTATGTCATTCCTTCAGCATATCAATGGCCGACATAGGTAAGGGTGATACTCGTTGTAGGCTTACCTTTGACCACTCTTTCCTGTATCTACCACAGAGCGTTAATTTATTTAGTAAACTAACCTGACATTCCTGGTCAAGCCTTATAACCATGATCATGGTCTTTATGGTTCCAGGTTCTGTGTCAACCTGCGTTTCAACTCGGGGGTGGCGCTCCACTTCAACCCCAGGTTTAATGAGAACGTTGTAGTGCGTAATAGTCTGCTGAAGGAACAGTGGGGTCCAGAGGAGAGGACAGGGGCATGCCCTTCTACAGAGGCCAGCCTTTTACGGTATAAACTACATTATACCTGATTGTATACTGTAGTATGGAAGCTAGCTATATTTTAACGTTTATTTGGGATTTTTGACTTTTTGTGCATTGACAACAATTTGAGCTAAAATTAGTTCTGAATGTGTTTTAGCTGCAATGGTACCGTATTCTTTTCCTTGGATAAACTCAGCACTCATGTCAGGTTCTGTGTTTCAGGTCACCATTATGTGTGACACCAAGTGCTACAGGGTGATGGTGAACGGAGCCCAGATGTTCAGCTACAACCACCGCCACTTCCTGCTCCAGCAGATAGATATCCTGGAGGTGGAAGGGGACGTGAGCCTGTCCTCTGTGCTGGTCTAAGTAATGACTCTGTTCTGGTTTGAGTTACATACACTGAGGTCAAAGGTGAGCGGTAGTAGGATCTGATCAGGGCATTATAAAGACTGATGTGTGAGAAATCATGCCTTCTGTGTGTGGACATTTTCTGTGTTGAAAAAATGGTGCCATTTTGCTATGTTGGCCAAGATGTTTTCATCAATATTTTATCTATTTCATAAACAATTTAATTTAGAGTACACTGTGAAATATAGTCTTCTATTGATCCAATTCCAGACCGCCCACTTGATACTTACTGTATGTCTGTTCCCTCTGTACCGACAATGTTGATGTTGTCATAATTCATAATAAGATGTTGTCATAATTCTACATCACCGCTAGGGGGCAGAGAGGTTCTGATAAAATTACTAACTTCGTCCTGGTTTAGATTGTAGTGGGATGGTTCGGATTTTTTATTAAAAGCTCAATTCTGAAGATTTTGACAAGGTAAATACTGATGACATTAACAGTGCTGTGAATCATTATAATTATTCAAATGACTCTGGGAGTTCCAGGTTGTTTGAAATAGGCTGGTAGGCCGGTCGACAGATTGCTCTGGCTGGGATGTCTGATCCATCACCTATAGATTCCCCTCACTTGCTGCTACAAGCAAGCTGACAAATCTGAAGCCATCAGCAATCAGAGGCCAATTGGTTATATATATATTTTTCTCTCACAAAGACTACCTTTTAGCCATCCTTTTCACCTGTAGTCCTCCTGGCAGCCCTCCATCCTTGCTGCCTGCAGTGGCGGCACCAGTCATTTTTCACTGGGCTAGCTAAGAGGTAGGCTAGTGGTTGCGTAGGGGTGCTTTCAATCTATTACATTTACATTTTAGTAAATTAGCAGACGCTCTTATCCAGAGTGACTTACAGTTAGTGAGTGCATACATTTTTCATTTTTCTATGGTGTACATGCGTGCATGTACAAATACATTCTTTCTTGGGGGTGCTAAGCCTATTCTTGACAGGGCTTCAGTACTGTCTTGCCCCTCCCTGGAGCTGCCCATGACTGCCTGGTTGTACCAAAATGATGTAGACCAGTGCTGCACAAGTTGGCCTTTCTTTCTCTAAAACAGATGTCTATGCAACATTCTTTAGATGAGTGAAATTAGTTCATTTTGCAGCATGTGATTTGATATCCTTTCTGAGGTGTCCAAAATGGCATCTTATTCACAAAGAGCCCCTTCACACAGGATCAAAGCATGGTAACATTACATGTCAACAAATTTGGATGACAAAGTAAGTCAGTCAAATCAAAGTTTATTGGTCGCATGTTATTGCGGGTGCAGCGAAATGCTTATGTTACTGGCTCCTAACAATGCAGTACAATGTCAATCAAGTACACAAATAATAAAAATAAATAATACTATTACAGTGCTATTTGGGTTGTTAATTAAATTCGTTCTGACATTTCTTTAATTTAATTTACACAAAATATTAAGAATGATATGTACAGCAGTAGATATGGTGAACTCCAAAAGTATTGGGACAGTGACATTTGTGTTGTTTTGTCTCTGAACTCCAGCACTTTGGATTTGAAATGATACAATGACTATGAGGTTAAAGTACAGGGTATTTTCATCCATATCGGGTGAACTGTTTAGAAATTACAGCACTTTTTGTACATAGTCCCCCCCATTTTAGGGGGACCAAAAGTATTGGGACAAATTCACTTATATGTGTATTAAAGTAGTCAAAAGTTCAGTGTTTGGCCCCATATTCCTAGCATGCAATGATTACATCAAGCGTATGACTCTACAAACTTGTTGGATGCATTTGCTGTTTGTTTTGCTTGTGTTTCAGATTATTTTGTGCCCAATAGAAATGAATGATAAATAATGTACTGTGTCATTTTGGAGTCACTTTTATTGTAAATAAGAATAGAATATGTTTCTAAACACTTCTACATTCATGTGGATGCTACCATGATTATGGATAGTCCTGAATGAATCGTGAATAATGATGAGTGAGAAAGTTACAGATGCACAAATATCATACCCCCAAGACATGCTAACCTCTCACCATTACAATAACAGTGGAGGTTATCATTTTTGGAGCGATAGGATATTTGTTCGTCTGTAAAATTCTCACTCATCATTATAGAATGGCAGCAAAAAAAGGCTCTATTTACATGTTGCTTATGAGTGCATTTCACACTTCTTTTGGATTATAATTGGATTTTAAGGCTGGTATGAATGTCCTGCTTAATATAATGTTTGTCTCATCATCGCAAATCAACTGCATTATACTTTAAAAACATTTCAACTTCAACCAGTAAAATGGCTTTCGCTATAATGTCAATGAGTGTTAGCATTCTAAATAACAACTGCTGCATCCAAAATAGTTATTTTGCAAAAATCACAACCAAATATAATCTTAGCCACTGTTCAAGCAAGAGTCAAAACATAATTGTAAGGGTATGAGAACGCAAAAAAAATATTTTGTTTAGAAGTAATACAAATTTTAATCTAGGATATGTTGAATGGGCACAGATGGCGATGGCTTTCTTACTGCCGCCAAGAGTCGCGCGCATCTGTGCGTGATGTCAGTGTGTCGTGTACTGGAAAAGAGTCTATAGGTTGCACCTCGGTCACGTCATGCGGTTATTATGAACGTTCTGAAGCTGCCCTCTATCGGTGGCACCATAGTGGTGCCCTAAAGTGGTGAAAAGCCCAGTCATTCTGGATGGAGGCTACTGTTGAATCTAAACCAGCGTTTCCCAAACCCGATCCTCGGCTCCCAAAGGGGTGCACGTTTTTGCTTTTTCTCCTAACACTCCTAACACTACACAGCTGATTCATATAATCCAAGCTTGATGATGAGTTGATTTTTTGAATCAGCTGTGGTGCTAGGGCAAAAACTCAAAAAACGTGCACCGAGTTTGTGAAACCCTGGTCTAAATGAAACTATAGTGCCTGGAAATACGATGACGTTGCTAAAGTAGTCAAATATACGGAAACGGTGCTGTACTGAACTACCAGTTGAAAAACAGGGAGGTTGGGGAATTCTGTCAGCATGGCCACTTCCCTTTAAATACGTCACTCATTGTTTCAAGCCACACCCACCAAAGCGGAGCAAATGTACCTCAAAGTCTGTTCAAGAATGTACAAGAACGTTTTGGGGAAACGTGTCGTTCAGTACAAACCGTTCTGCAACGTAGCAAACGATCAAGCGAACTGAACGCACCTCTGATTTTAATAGACTAGTAACATAGTAAACGTAAATCCGGGACACTCAAATTAGTACGTTATGTTAGGTGTGGTTACATAAGATAGAAAGGTTACTTACTTACTAGCAACCCAAAGGTTGGGTGTTCAAATTTCATCACTGACAACTTTGGCATTTTAGCTCATTAGCAACTTTGCAATTACTTACTACTTTTTATCTACTTTGCAACTACTTAACATGGTAGCTAACCCTTCCCCTAACCTTAACCCTTTTAGTTAATCCTTCCCCTAACCCTAACCTTAACCCTTTAACCTAACTCCTAACCTTAACATTTATGTACAGAATAATACAAAATGCTCTTAGACCACGTTGCAGTCAGTACATTAGGACTGATATCCTATACACAGTGTGACAATAGACATGGTATGTCAGAGCAAATCTCGCTTTTGCTTTGATATACAGTACCAGTCAAAAGTTTGGACACACCTACTCATTCAAGGGTTTTTATTTATTTTTTACTATTTTCTACATTGTAGAATAATAGTGAAGACATCAATACTATGAAATAACATATATGGAATCATGTAGTAACCAAAAAAGTGTTAAACACAGTAGATACAAAAGAGTGTGCAAAGCTGTCATCAAGGCAAAGGGTGGCTACTTTGAAGAATCTCAAATATAAAATATATTTTGATTTGTCACAACCGCAGACCACGTGTAACCACGCCAGCCCAGGACCTCCACATCCGACTTCTTTACCTGCTGGATTGTCTGAGACCAGCCACCTGGACAGCTGATGAAACTGAGTCTGTAATAAAGCCCTTTTGTGTGGAAAAACTAATTCTGATTGGCTGGGCCTGGCTCCCCAGTGGGTGGGCCTGGCTACCAAGTGGGTGGACCTATGCCCCCCCAGGCCCCCCCAGGCCCACCCATGGTTTCTCAAATGACTGCCTCGCCTGGTTCACCAACTACTTCTCAGATAGAGTTCAATGTGTCAAATCGGAGGGCCTGTTGTCTGGACTATGGCAGTCTCTATGGGGGTGCCACAGGATTCAATTCTTGGGCCGACTCTTTTCTCTGTGTATATCAATGACGTCGCTCTTGCTGCTGGTGACTCTCAGATCCACCTCTACGCAGACGACACCATTTTGTATACATCTGGCCCTTCATTGGACACTGTGTTAACAAACCTCCAAACGAGCTTCAATGCCATACAACACTCCTTCAGTAGCCTCCAACTGCTCTTAAACACTAGTAAAACTAAATGCATGCTCTTCAACCGAACGCTGCTTGCACCCGCCCACCCGACTAGAATCACTACTCTCGACGGGTCTGACCTAGAGTATGTGGACAACTACAAATATCTAGGTGTCTGGTTAGACTGTAAACTCTCCTTCCAGACTCACATTAAGAATCTCCAATCCAAAGTTAAATCTAGAATCGGTTTCCTATTTCGCAGCAAAGCCTCCTTCACTCATGCTGCCAAACATGCCCTCGTAAAACTGACTATCCTACCGATCCTTGACTTCGGCGATGTCATTTACAAAATAGCCTCCAACACTCTACTCAGCAAATTGGATGTAGTCTATCACAGTGCCATCCGTTTTGTCTCCAAAGCCCCATATACTACCCACCACTGTGACCTGTACGCTCTTGTTGGCTGGTCCTCACTACATATTCGTCGCCAAACCCACTGGCTCCAGGCCATCTATAAATCACTGCTAGGCAAATCCCCGCCTTATCTTAGCTCATTGGTCACCATAGCAACACCCACCCGTAGTATGCGCTCCAGCAGGTATATCTCACTGGTCATCC